CTCGGCTAGGGTTAACTTAGAAAATCGACTACCGATTTGGTGTGATATGGGTGTGATAATCATGTGATATCACTATCATAACAGCGCACTCGATTTGATCATGGTTTCGATCGGTTATGATTAGACGATCACACATTTATCACAAYGATTACGGRCDAAATCCWCTAAACGATTTGGTGTGATATGGGTGTGATAATCATGTGATATCACTATTATAACATCACTTGCGCACTAAATTTGATCATAGTTTCGATCGGTTAGGGTTAGACAATCACACATTTATCACAACGATTACTTATGGTTTCGATAAGTTATGGTTACACTTCATTGATTATGGTTTCGATAGATTATGGTTACACAATCACACAATTATCACAAGGGGAGAGGAGAGAGTGGAAAAGAWCGTGCAGGAAAAAAAGGGATAATTATGACTAATTAAAATAAAATAAAATTTATAAAATTAATTAATTACATTACTGCCCTTATTACTTTATTTATATTTAATATAAGTTAATTTATTAATTAAAAAAGTTTGAGGTTATTAGATTGTTCTCGTATTCTCGTAAATCACAGGGGTTCTCGTTTGAACCTCCACCTATATATATATATAGACTTGAGATCATGTGAGACCAATGGTTTTTCGTGAGACCCGTAAGACCAATTCTCAACCCTTAAATTAGATCTATAATCTGACAATCTAAACATTCATAAACGCCACAAGATTTCTTAATAATTACCAAATTGCCACCGTGCAATTTAGACCGTTAGATCATTAACTTATAAAGTTGATCAATGAACATAAATGGGTCTTACGAGTCTCACGAAAAACGTTTGGTCTCACGTGAACCCAACCCTATATATATATATATATATATATATATATATATCAAACTTTACTTTTAATTAATTTATTTGTCTTATCAACTCATAAACTAGAGATTTTGTTCTCTATATTGTTTTAACATATTTCCTATTTTTTCTCAAAAATAGAGAAAATATGAAAATGCTCCAAGTTTAAAAAATTATTTAAAACTTGATGTGGGAAGAAAAAAAAATGATTTTTTTATACATTTACCACCAATGAGATTAAATTATATTATTTTATATACAATTTTTTAAAAAAAACGTATCGGGATGATAAGATTACAGAATATTTTAACAATATAATTAACATAAAAATCTTTAAAATAGATGATCTGTTGGAGATACATGTAAATATTTTTTTACAAATATTTTAATGTTTTTTTCTTTATTTTTATAAAATTATAGAGAATCTGTTGATATGCTTAAATATTAAATTAGTAGTATATTTATGGGCCATAAATATACTACTAATTTAATATTTAAGCATATCAATAGATTCATTTGATAACACCAAAATTTGTGAGATCCGTGAAAACTTCTACCTTAATGTTTTGTTTTTCGTCTAAGTATAGTATTTAATGTATTGATTAACATATATTTATTTTACAATGTGTTTCTTTCATATGTGTTCGGTTCACAACGTGTAACTTTTAAGTGTATTTTTTGTTTCAAAAACACGTAAAGATGTTCACATTGTAAACTGGGTACATGTGAAACAAACACATCGTGAAACAAATATAGTACATATTCATTGTGAATGCTAAGGATGTGTGAAATGACATTGCACATTTAAATCAATTAAAACCGCCAATAAAAGAAGAGCTGTCAAACACTTTCTTATGTAAAACTTAAATGTGATGGGTAGTTTTAGAGAGATGTCTGATTATTTATTCGATATTGTAAAATATCATTGAATAAAGACAGCGGAAGAGAATTTTGAAAAGTTAAATCAAGAATAACTGTAATCTAAAAGTGTTCGAAAAATATTTACAGTTTTTATAAGATGTCTTGACATAAATCAGTACAATTTTATTGACACTGATGAGATATGTATCAATATTGATTCTTGAGTTTGGTCAATATACCAAAAATAGTCCAATCCCTCTAAGGATTGATCCAGTTTTTATGTTTAAAACTAGGGTTGATTAGGGTCATATCGTTCTAACCGGTCCCAATGATTTTATTTTTAAAGAGGAAAATAAGTCATCTTGTTGCTTTTGTGAAGTAACTTGTAGTCCCAGTTTTGAAAACCAGTCGTTTTAAACCGGTATTTTTCTAGACCTATCATTAACCAATCAAGACTCGAAAACAGGGACTGTTTAAATCCCAAATGACTGACGTTTCTAGGCCTTTATCCTTGTGTGAAGCTTGGTTCAGGTAACTAATCTTTTGTCTCCCGAAACAGACCCTTTCGGGTCTGGTCCTTGAGTCGAGCTGGTTCATAATCAAATAATGGGTCTTTTGTGAAAATTTATCGTAGATGAAGTAATGATTAAGGGTGTCCTAAGATCGAAGGACCACATAGGCCAAAGGATAACACTGTATGGTCAATTATAAATGGTGTTGCTATTTCGTGTCCTCTTCCGCAATTTAAGCTCTGAAAATAACAAGTCTTTGGGTTACATGCACATTGTCTTTTCCATTATCATATAATTTGCCTAAATGGGCTTCAACTATTCCTCAATATCAATATCAGTCCCTGATAGAAACGAAAAGCAGATTCATAATTCATCCCTGGTATAAAAACGTTGTTTTGAAACGAGCGAAACATGAATAAACACGTTTGCCTCTTTTTAACGTCTGGGTTCCCGTTTTACTTACAGATAGACTCTGAAATATAACTGTTGGTAAGTTTACTGTGCGAGAAGTTATATATGCCCTACATGAAGTAAAGTGTAAGAATATGCATTATTTTCGTTTTCTTGATAACTTGATTCACATATAAAAGCCGACAGGTTTCCAAAGATATGATGCGAGTACGGACTATTAAAACATGTTACACTTAACAATGAACATCACAGCGTACTGATATAGACATAATTTGTTTCTAACCATGCAAATAACTGTTCAAGATTGGTATAAAAGCAAAAGGATTATCAGTATGCTCAAAAACACTGAACAACAACAGTAGTCAATACCTACTATGTAAATATGAAATCAAGACATGTTCAGTTTTATTATACGTCATAAATACAGCAGATTAACATTCAAACAAAATCATTCAATCTGAGAACCGTATTCAAGAACCAATAATGCCTACATGAATGAAACGGGTGGCAGATAAAGTGTCTGCAAGTTGTATAAGCACTATAATGCCAATAAATGAGACCATTCTTACAGATCACATTTCCTATATCTGATATAACAGTATTATACAGATAATTTAACGACAAAAAACTATAGCAGCTACATAGTTTTTGCTTATTCAAAACAATATCGTATTATAATATTTCATACAACTACGAAAAGTAAAAAGTTATAACCGATATTATTTTACGCCAAACGCACCACACTCCTACGTCACATTCATCTCACCCCTAATTTCTTGCGAAAATTTCATCCAACGACAGTTTCATATTTTTTTTTTCATTTCATTTATTACAAGACTTCTTTAACGGTTCAGATAAATACGAACCCATGATCTGAAATCTTAAATACAATTCTTAATCGTGAAAAAGCACAACCGAAAAAACACTGTAATTTAACATAGCACGATGCATATACAGAAACCATCATGCAAATACGACGTGGGTTTGGCTTAACGATGATTTGTTTCTAAGATAACGATTCGGAAATTCGCTACAATCACAGTTATCGTGAAGGGCAATACCGATGGCGTGAATTCAACGTAAAATAACTGTATTAAGGGCAAAAACGACATTAACAGATAAAGATTCATACGATAACTCATGCTTACATATTTTCATCGAAACCACCAAATATTTCATAACATTAATGAAATATTTAGTCTCTCAAAAGGGTGTAAAGAATTTTACACCTCAAATGAGGAAAATTACAAGATTTCAATTTGTACACATTAATCTAACCCAAAAAAATAATAATTAAATAAATATTAAATTTTTTTAGGTGTATTTTGGGTTAGAGTCAGAAAAAATAAATAAAGAAAAATGGTTAAAAAAGGAAATTCATTTTCTCAGAGCTGTGCTGCATCCAAGACTTGTACATTCTTCTTTGTCAGTTGTACGATTCTCTGGATTTAGAAACTTTAGCTCTGGAAAAAGTAATCATCCTTAAAAAAGGAGAAGCGAAGGCCAAAATGCAGCTTCATCTTTAACCCCATCTTTCTTCAATCTCGCCGGAGGAATATCACCACCGTGATCGGAAAAAAACAACCCTAAACCTCTTCATCGGAGCATGGAGGTTAGAGATCGGAAAACCACCTCTTCACAAGGGATCGTGAGACCCATTTCGTGATGAAATCCGAACTCCTCCTCAGCACGGCGGAGGAGGAGCTGGAATTCAGGGTGAGTTAAGAACGATATCGGAACGATGTATCTGGTTCTGTTAACGCCGACGTATACCGGAAAATGGCCTTTGGGGACGTCAAGTGGAAGGCCGTCGACGTCGTATCCATGTTTCTTACCCAAACTTGAACATCTTTTGAGGATTTGCTTTAACAGTGCTGCTTGTGAGAGTTTGTTTGATTTCTTGATCCCCATTATGGTGAAGAAATTAGGGTTTGATCGACGGTGATAAGGTTGAAGACGGCGGAGGCGGTGGTGGTGGTGGAGATTTGAGATGTAGATAAAGGGGGGTGTGTGAAGGGTATTTATAGAGGAAATATTGAACACAAACTCTATATTCTGTCTGGTTTTTATTTTATTGTATTATTTATTATCAAAAATACTTTATCTATAAAACTGTTTTTTAATTAATAAAATAATATTTTATTTATTTTTTAAATAATTAGAGATTAATAAAAAGGCTTTGGATTATTGGAGACTAACATGTTTTTCTGAGATTTATGAGACCATTTTTTTACACTTGAAATTTCATAATAAAATACTGTGAGAACAAAATGTTTTTGTTGTGAATGTTTAATCTTTTTTTTACCTTCACAACGTTTTACTGCGAAATTTCAAGTGTAAAAATCAAGCTGATCTCACGGGTCTCATGTAAAACCAACCCTTAGTAAATAAATAATTTATTAAAAAATAAAAACATATTTGAATTTTTTATTGTCAAAAAGATTTTAGATATTTAATTAATAATTAAATTTTAATTTTCTAAATAAGTCATTAAGCCATGGGATATTTTTTTGATATTTAGGAACCAGTATATCATGTGTTATTTTATATGTTTTTTTTTTCTTTATCTAACATATATTTGTTTCACAATGTGTTTGTTTTACATGTATTCTGTTTACAATGTGTACATATTTGAAGTGTTTGTGAAACAAAAATGCATATAAAAGAGTTTCATATTATGAACCGAATACATATGAAATAAACACATTATAAAACAAATACGTGTTAATTAATACAATAAATATTATACTTTGATGAAAGAAAAATCATGTGAAATAGAACTTTAATGTAGAAGTTTTTACGGATCTCATAAATTAATAGTTATAATTTAAATTTCTAAATTATATTAAACTAAATTCGTTAAATCAGGGGATCTTCTTTTAAAAACTCTCTAAATCGTGAGATCATTAAAAACCAGTACAACATGTGCTATTTCATATGTTTTATTTTTCTGGGGATATTCTTTTGAGATTTTTTTTAAAACGTGAGATGTTTGAGAACCATTTTACCTGCCTAGGGTTCAATTTCAGGCTTGCACAACAATTGTGACAACTGAGTTTATGAAAACTGATTTCTTACAGTCATAATTTGCCAAGATTACTAAGGGTAAAATTGTCATTATTTGTTAATTTTGTCAAAACATCTGAATCATTTTAGTTTTAGATTAGCTAAAAATAATATAAATATTTTAAATAGTAAATGTGAAATAACTTCATGACTGAAAACTACAATGTCTATATTATACTATAAAACATTTGAAAAAAAAAACTCTTAAAAACTATTTTTTATGCATGAAGTATTGTTTATTGATACATATTACTTAAAATTTAAGATTACAAATAAATTGTGCGTAAGTACAACTTATTAAAGTTACATGTTTGAATTCGTGTAAAAGAATGCAGATAAATATAATTAAATGCATGATAAAAATATCATTTTTAAATATAAAAAAATTAAAACAATCATTAAGTTCTAACAGAATACTTAATTATTATATTTATAAAAAAAATATATTATTAAATCAAAAATAAATTATTTCGTTATTAAAGCTAAATTAAATTATAATAAAAAATCAAATTAAAGAAAATTACACAAAAAACGATAACTTATAAATAGTTAATTTAATACTAATATCGAAATACTTTTTTCAAATTTTTATGAAACCTTCAAATTTATACTTTATCCAAAATAAAAATATTGTCGTTTTCTCAAAACCACATAAAACCGTATTATATCAACAGAGACATAAATTAAAACGAAACATTAAAATCGAGATATATCTCACTGTACTGCACGAGTATCCTTCTAGTTATATTTAAATGTAATTTAAAAAATTCAAAAAACATTTCTTCTTTATATTTTCTGAACTTGATAAATAATTAATATAATAAAAAAAAACACTATTTTTATAATAACATAAATTATTTTTTAATTAAAATTGAATTGTTTTTTATATATAAATTAATTAAAATTGACATTTCAAAGAGGTTTGAAAGCAAATAAATGAATGAAAGGAAGCATGTGGGGGGCAAGTGTAGCAAAGGGGCATATCATATGTAAGTTTTGGTGCATAGACATAGTGGGGTCATGCCCCATTGGCCTTCCTACAATATGTCTCAAATACCTTCATCTATGCCTTTCAATCATTTTCTATTTTCTATTACAATTTTGGGATCTTAAATCAGATATTAATTTGATCATCCAAATCCGTCACTTTATAGCTTGACTTTTGCGTAAATACGTCGAGGGGCGGGTTACGCCCAGTTGGAAAATACATGGTTACTACAGACTTGACCATAGCTGATTTTTTTTGTATAATATTGAAAACAGATCTTTTAGATGAAATTGTAAGGAAACTGTGTTTGAATAATTTGTGAAAGAAATTTCTAGTCTCATATATGACCTTTGAAGAAAAAAAATTGTGGTTTTCTCGACCGCCCATAAAATACAGTGTAACAAAGAATAGTATAACAATAACGACTAGGGATTGTTTGTTTACCTCTTAATAGTTTCATTAAGAGACAACATCTGAATCGTAAGAGGTGAATCTTGTTTAACAAAAAAATGTCTGTCTCTTAATGGTTTTAAAATCCGAGGAGTGCTAATGGCACCCACTTTGATGTCAGAATCAAGTCATTCAAGCATTGGGAATGTAAAAAACATGTATTGATGTTGATGTGTGTGAGGAATAAATTCATGGATAGGGGTGCATTAAGCAATGCATAGGGGTGCATTTAGCCCAGCCCTAAAATCCTCTGAACGATTTTGTATCTTGAATCTCCCTTAACCATTCAGCACCGTAATTTCATTTTGCAAAATTACCAAATAATTATATTTCATTTTGCACTATATTATAAGAGTCTCTTAATCATTCTGATCACCTCATTTTGTAGTAACTCATTCAACAATTGTCAAACAACCCCTATATATTTCATGTAATACCAAATATAGTTAATATTTTTTCCCTCCATCCTCAAATAAATTTCTACAATAAAAATAACACACAATTTCAGACATGAATAATTTTCCTTTTTTAGTTAACAAAATGACAACTTTACCTCTAATCAGTGTATTTATCTTTTCAACTCTTAAATATTGTGCATTAATTAACGATATTATTTGAAAATTTAGCTACCTATTTTTTAAAATAGACATTTATTTTGGAAAAAAAAAACATAAATAAAAATACAGATACTCATTCTCGACAAAACTTCTTCATAAACTGCGGATTTTTACGGTAACAACTCTGTATCAATTGGGCTAAAAAAAGGTTACCATACATCATGAATTCATATGACGCTCGAATGAAATATACTGTATATGTTTAGTTTGATCAGTATAACTGGATTTTCAAGATTAAATTTAAAAAGGCATAAATATTTACACTTTGCCCCCCTCAACTATTCAAATTTATATTTTTGTTTGTATGTGAAATGGGTTCCTTTTTTCCAAATCCCAAATGGTATGTTACATGAATAATGTTGAAGGAGCATTATGTTTGGTCTATCTTGATATAGCTAAGGATAGGGTATTTTTAGTACCATTTTTTGGTTTTATTTAATTATTTTTAATAAATTATAATATCTTATTTTTGACATGCCATTTCATACAACTTTATAATATAATATAATATAATATTTAATATTTTTTTATTTTTCAAAAACGGTATATTGCAAGGTTTATGTACTTGAAGCGTTTCTGATACCAGTCCGTTAATTAGGACATGATACTTGCGTACTTGGTACATTGTTGTTGAGCTCTCTTTATTCAATACGTACTGCAAACGTTTTTTTTAATTCATAGAAAATCAAAATGTTATAGACAGTTGTAAAATAATTAAGACACACACACACACACACACACACATATATATATATATATATATATATATAGGTGGAGGTTCAAACGAGAATACTTCCATTTTACGAGAACGTGAGAACACCCTTATCACAAGTGATAATACGCGTGAGGGGA